AACCATCTGTTGCTCCAATTCTGAACGACTGACTTGAAGGTTCATTACGAAAAACCTGACTCCTGTGAGGATATTGATAGTTTCGTCTATGCCGAGAGGATAACATTCAGTATATGTCAATTTCCGCAAATCTTACTTCCTGCTCTTAGAAACTTTCACGCATGTGTGCATTTAATTAAGTCGGCCGTTACCACCGTAGCCAGTAATTCATTATTCCTTCGGATGTGCAGTTGATTGCGTCGCAGAGTTTGTGTTTTATGTTCGCTGTCTGTATCTGCTAGGTGTCGAAGATACGAATGCGACCCAACAGGTTCTCGCCCCATGCGGAAACATTGAAAAAAATCAACCTTGCTTGAACATTTACATTCGATTTGTTAGTTAAAATGCTTTAAATACGAGTAGCCGTTAAGGCAACCAACGCTTAAATGGCTGCATATGTCAGTGTTCGGTGGTGTGTTGGACTGCAAGGTTCTGTTATGGCTTTTTGTAAGTCCCAAGAAACTGCTAATTTCGAAGTTAGTCTTCACTGAAGGGCATTTCGCTAACCACAACTTGTGGATGCGCCAAGTGGCCACAGTTAGGTCAGCAGACAGAACTAGTCTTCACGGGTTTCTATTGCCTTGAGTTAGGAATTTATTAGCTCGTAGACTTATCAAAGGTTCTACAGAAGAATATGGTGATGGTTATGGGTCCAGTTGACGCTTCATTGCTCGTATTACACACATAGATGGGTTTGCTTTTAGGCCTTCCAAGATCTCCTCGTGGCAAGCCTTCCACACGAGTGGACTACTTCTATTCGATGTTTGACTTGAATGCCATTGTTGTGCCAGATCTGCAGGTAGCAGTTAGTAGTGATTTGCAGGTGACTCACAGAGGTGTAGGGCCTCTTTTTGAGGAGCTGCTACTGACTTAAATTCAGGGGTCTCTCTGGCGGCGCAAAATAAAATTCCCATCAGACTGGTCTGATTAGCTTTTGTGTACGTACAACAAGCTACTTGCTTTTCTATGGAAGACATTTTATAAAAGTTGTTGGAAACGATAGTCCAGCTCACCAAGGGGCATGTTGGGCGCCTGAGGCATTGAACAGTTGTCAGTCAGGCGTTTTAAAGTGACGCAGCTTTGCTTGACTGTCGGCAATCTCCTGTAAAAGTGGGTCAGCCGGACCGCTTGATAAGATTCTCTTTGCTGTCGCATCACATGGTTAACAGGGGCACTTATATTATAGAGGAACCGCTCAAGAAGGTCTGCAGCGATGGTCCCTTTGTATTCCTTGTCGTAAGTGTGATTCCCGACTCCGTCTGTGGATTCTACAATTATTCTTCTTCCTCGCTCGCTGTTTCACTCCACTTTT